TTTACACTCATTTGCATTGCACCACTTTTCTCTCACGGTAATTGTCTCTTATATAAAGTGAAAATCACATCATTTTAATTTTCTCTTTTAGAGGTTTTCCTTCTACTTTTCTCTTTCATATAAAGTAGAGATGACACCATTTAATTCTCTTTTTCCTCATAAATAAACTAGTGGATTCTAATCTTATTAGAGATTAAATCCAATGGATGTTTGATTGATCAATTGCATGATAGAGCACATTTACACATGAACATTGAAAAATAGCTTTAAAATTATCACAAAAGCTTTTGTTTTATCTTATTTTCCTTTCTTTAATGCTTGTCCCACATTGAAAAATTACTAAACTTGGCTTATGTTTTTAAATAGGAGTTTGTTTACACTCTTTTGAAGTATAGAGAAGAGAGTACAAAGATTTGCTATTGCACAACACGTGCACATGCATGTATGTGGTGCAATGAGGCACATTAGAGGCACACTTTCCCATGTTGCAATTTTGCATCCAGGTTGTAATTTGTTTGAAAATCAGAAATCGCGATTTGCGATTTACGTTAATTGCATTTGAGCATTATGGAGGATGAACCATGCCCGTTGACATTTTAAGTTAATCCAATGGTCAAAACTTGAACGGGTATAATCAATAGATACTATTCAAGTCTTAACAATTTTTAACTATTAACTAACTATGAACAGTCATAGAGTTTGAATTTGTGACTGCACAAAGAGCCTCTTCAAATGGATATGCTCCTCTTCACGATGACTCTCCGGAATTTATAAAAGGCTGTAAATCAAGTTGGTTTTACAAATAAGTTTTCATTCAATTCTCACTACACAAACACTCTTGTCTCTCTTAGTTGAAACTACTATTGTCTCATAGAATGTTTCAATGGAGATTGTTGAAGTTTGGTGGTTGCAGTTTCTCATCCTAGGCTCTATTGTATTCTGGGAACAAATTTGCTAGTAAATCATGGTCAAATTCGAAGTCAAAGTGAATCAAAATTTGCACTCGATCCATTTGCATTTTAATGAATTTACACTAGTGCAATAAAATTTTATGAAACCCAGATGACAACAAAAATAATCTTTATCTTTGTCATAGTCATGTAAAGATCACTATTTCAACCCATTGTTGACATAGCTGATTGAACCATTCAAACAATCACTTGGCTTTGATTATGGGTTTGGTTCTACTAAAACCCAAGAATTGGTCAAAAATAATTTAACCTGGGTGGTTGGATTGTTGATCCGTTCAACCCGGTGATGAATCACAGGTTATATACTAAACGTGTATGCAAACTTTCAAACGCCATAACTTTGTTCTCTCCGATGATAGGTCATGGGTTGCCCCACTATTTTCACCAAGAAACCCTTTTTTGGCCTCAGATAATAATTTTTAGCATTTTTATAAATAAAAATAAAAACTAAATTAAGAAATATGAATTAAATATAAAATAATGCATATAAGGGTGTAAACGGGTCGAATTCGAATCGTATCAAGCAATATCTGAATTTGAATCTGATTAGAAAATCTGATATCTGAATTCAATTCGATATCTGACGGATAATTAATATCTGAATTTGAATCTGATTAAATATTCAAATAGTCGATTTGATTTGATTCGAATTCAGTTAATTAATTATTTTAGATAATTAATAAATATATAAAATATATATTTTATTGATATAAAGTATATAAATATATAAGTTATATGTATAACTTAATTATTATATATAAATTATATAAAATATTTTATATATTATATATAAGAATTAAATTATCGGTTGAATTCGGATATTTATCGAATCAAATCAGGTCATATCCGAATTCGAATCCGATTAACTATTCGGTAAGAATAGGATATCCGAATTCGACCGATTAGATATTCAAATTATCTGAATTCGATTCGATTATGTCGAATATCAAATTTAAAATTGGATTTTCGAATACCGTTGACACCTCTAAATGCATATATTACATGTAGAATATAATTATACATTATTTATTGATAAAACACATATTTATACCTATATATACATGTATATGTGTATATCTATTTTCTGACATGACACCCTCTGACCTACTCGGGCAGGATAATCAAATTGGTGACTTGCGATTCAAGGGCAAAAACGGTTTAACCTTTGATCAGTTTTTAAAACATTAGTAAAGATAGCTAATTGCTTTCTAGTGGGCTGTGAACAATGTCAAGCCACTGGAGGACCATTGATAATGCAGTCGAGATATTATGAGTTCAATTACTTTCACCGTAGACATGCTACAACCCAGATAAAATGATAAAATTTCTCCGATAAATTCCCTTATCGTGACAGTTACAAGGTAGCTGCAATGACAGTGAAGTTGATTTGCCTAAGGGTGTCAATGGACCGATGTCCAATTCAAAATCAATTTAGATGGATTGGACATACTAACAACATATTGGATTGGACCAATTTGATCCAAAATATTTATTAGATTGGATTGGATTGGACCTGGCCTGTCTGTAATAAATTTATATTAGATTGGGTTGGATTAAGCCAATATCTAATCCATTGATATAAGATAAGAATATATATGTCAATGGACCGGATTTGAATTAAAACCAACCTAAATAAAAATGAATTCGAACAAATTAGATGGTCCAGACATTAAATTAGACTAATCCAAATTGATCGATAACATTTATTGATTTGGATTAAACCTGGTCCATATATAATGAGAATCCAGTCCAATTGATACCCCTATATATCAGTACCAAATATTACAGAATGAAATTTGGTTTGGGTTGGATTTGATTGAGCATTTGTTTATTATGGATGGAGAGCCTGAATATGAAGTTGAACCCGATGTATCTAACAAAATATCCAGCATTGAAGAAAACTTGGCATATCTTATGGATTTCTTCTTTTCATGATTCTTGATTGCCAATACCCTCAATAAGTCGATTGTCCCCAATTCTTTAGTGGTCACTCGGCATCCCTCCCGTGAACAGGCAGAACCCATGTAGGGATGCCAGTGGGTTGGATTAAGCGGTAAACCCGCAATGACCGGACCTTATCAGGTTAGGGTCAGGTCAGAATTAAATGGGTTTTGGGTTGAGAAGAACCCACACTTAACTTTCCCTATTTCGGCATTGAAACATTCATGTACACAGGCTTCTTTGAGTATATGGGACGGGTCGGGTTCAATAAACCCTCCCCTTTTAGTCAGGTTGGGATAGGGCTCGTGCATCCTCAGGTCGGATTCGAATCAAGCCAAATCTAATCCATTGACATCCCTAAACCCACACAAGTGCAGACTTTCAGTTTTGTGAATGCCGTGGGCATATGTACCCTAAAGCCACTAACCCATTAACCCGACCCGATAACTGAGTAATAAAGTTCATAATATGTCATCCTATAATCAATTATTTCTTTTAATATCTAAGAATAAAGTTCTGCAATCTATTTTCTTCTAGACTAGGAATCTAGGACTGAACAATATGCCTAAATATCTCTATGTTTGAGAAAATGATCAAAAGAAGCAAAAGCTCTTCAGTTTTCTTGTTACAACAGAAGAAAGATAAGTAAAATTGAGAAAGAAAAAGAGAATTGTCTATTAAATGCATCCAAAAAGAACAGTGAAAAATTATGCTGTTAGAACAATAAAATCTTTCTGCTTTTATTTTGTTTTTTATTACTTTGTTTCGCCAGAATCACAAACTCTCCACACATAATATGGGAGATATTCCCAATATACGGCTGCATGATGTTAGCAGAACTATTGTTTGCAAGAGATCCGGGCTCAGCGCTGATAATACAAAGGCATGATTTCATTGAAAGTAAAGTCCTTGGACCCGAAGTCCAAATCATTAAAGGTTGGGGCTCTATGGGTCCAAATTCAACTTGCCCATGTTAAGCCAGTAATCCTAGGCTCCCAGCCATGAATAAATAGCCTGGATAATTAAGTCTTTCTTGTCTATATAAGGGCACGAAGATATCATCTGGACGACTGTTTCTCTATTTAACACAAATGCATAACTCAATTCATCAGGGTGACGGGTCATTTGGCAAGTTTTTTGAGAAGATCTTCTGGTAGTTCTGATAGTTAAAAAATACATTGAGCTTTTAAGTGAAATCTGAGCAGCCCGAAGCTAGTTTATCTACCGTACGTCTTTTTATGCATTTTTCCGCATGAGAATAAAGCGAGAAAGATGTGAAAAGCTCTATTTGAAACTTTCTGAAATCAGCCTAAAATAAGCTTTTCGTGTCTTTTTGATGCACCTACTTTTGGCAGTTAGATTTGTTGCGAATCTAACGGAAAGGACTGCGGCACAGTCCGCCCGACTTATAAACAGCCAAAAAACTATACAGAAAAACACGCCAAACAGGGCCTAACCAATTCTTTATCCCGTCAAATTGCTTCTTTTAAGGAGAAGGATTTAGGAAGTAAAGAATGGATAATCTCACTGATAAAACAAAACCCACATGAAAGGAGGGTTCTGTTTTGTGAGGTATGCCTGAGGTTAGTTGGCCAAGAAATAATGCGTTTTTGTCTGTCCTTAAGTTCTCATCTTAATCTACTTAATTGAGTTAACGTCGGAGTCCAAAAGCAAACCGATGGCTCTAATTAAATTCAATAGAACTCATGACCAATCTTGGCCATTGGATGCTTACATGAACAAAAGCATGGTTTCATTAATTAACTTCAAATGGCCTGTCACCCTATAGGTTCCCTGCGATTGTGGCGAAGGACTAGTTCAGTGATCAATTTTGAATGAAATCATGCTTCTAGCAAGAGGGCTCTTAACCCATTTTGATTAGTCCAGGGGTGCATTTGGCTCCTCCAATTTTATTTCTAGGCACTAAGTGTGTGATCAAGCAATATAAGTATATAAAGCTGTTGTGGTTCGTTGGTTTATGCAAGTTATGCATCACCTTATAATTCATGCCTCCTCTTAGACCTCACAAACTGATCTTATTCCTTTCTCTCCTTCTCCCCTCATCTCTATAGCAGGTGGGATTCAAGGATGACACAGTTGAACCTTACTGGGTGTAAGAAAAGGAAGAGAGGGGAGAGAGTTTTTAAGTTGAGGACCTTCTGCGAACCTGGTTACCCAGTTGAGTTCAATGGCCTATTTCGCCAAAACATCAGAGCCTTAATTGAATTGGGGACCCCTGAGACAAATTTGTGCAGTGGAATGCATAGCTGGTCCTTCCAGCTTGAACTCCATCAATGCCCTTCCGTCCATATCGTGCTTCTTGTCATTGAAGAATCGATCGAAAGGTCTGCATATCGTAATTGCAATCACTGCAAATACATGGGTAAACTCTTCATGCCAAAAGACTTCAATTAATTCTTTTGCTTTAGTTATCTATAGTGTAGAACTAGCTAGGACCATCTACAAACCTTGTATCTATCAGTTCAATCAATTTACCTTCTAAGATCAATAAGAACATCCCATCAAGATGATTTCTAGTGTAGACGATTGAGTTTATGCAATAACATGACTAGTCTTTTCTGGTGCTAAAATGAGAATGAGAAATTGCTTTGGCTATAGCTCAGGCTGGGGGCACCACATGATCTGCAGCAAGAAGTTTCACTTTGTAGTGTCCTCAAGGGAAACCATGCCAGTGATTGCAGCAGGTATAAGCTATGAAGGCAGTTGTAGAGGGTCGGATCAGAAGGCGGCGAAGTCGAACTTTGTAGGGTTACAAGGCTACCTTATGCATGGGGTCTTGCACTCTAATGGGTTTGGGCATTTGCTCTGTGTAAATGGAGTGGAGAAGGGAGCAGAGTTGGCAGGGCATGAGATCATGGACCTTTGGGACCGAATATGCACGGCACTGCGGGCAAGGTGAGACTGTAGTGCCACTGTTTGACTCGGTTATTTCATCAACTAACTAAGGGGTTCTTATATTTATGCCAAGAAATCTTTCTATTTCTTTGATTATAGTGAACTAGGAACTACAGGGCCAAGGCCTTCTTGGGCCTCCAGTTACTAAACAAAGAAAATGTTACTTAGGCTGTGTGGTTGCAGTGTCAATTTCATTTGCACTGGTGTAAATGCATGGGAGTGTAAATAAGCTTAATGTAAAATCCGGTTTACTTTTGCTTTAGATTTGGCATTGTCTTGTTTGCTTGTGAAAAGTAAAATAGGAAGTAAAGTGGTGTGATCCCACCTTATATGCAAGGGAATGAAGGTAGGAGGAGATTTATTTGTTTGGGAATGAGGTAGGAGCGAGATGTGGTCTCCACTTTATAGAGAGAATTGGGGTAGGAGGAAAGTGGTGCAAATTTTGCATCAGTCTTTGAAATGTAATAGGCTCAGTTTGGAAGGAGTACAAATACAAATTTGTAGAGTACAAAACCTTATATTTTATATTATTTTTGTATGTATTTGTACTGTACATATTTGTATTTGTATTCCTTCCAAACTGAGCCATAAAGAGTACAAATGCAAATTTATAGAATGCAAAATCTTGTATTTTGTATTATTTTTTATGTATTTGCACTGTATATATTAGTATTTGTACTCCTTCCAAACTGAGCCATAAAATTATATTGCTAGTGAGTGCAAATAAGATAAAAAGTATAAATCTTGTATCATGTAGGAGTGCAAATTATTGTTATAAACAAATAGATGCAAAACTGAACCACATAAAAAATTTGTATCTGGTTCAGATTTGCACTGCAAGTTTGCAACCAAATGCAGCCGCCTTAGGCCTAGTTTGGGAAGAGTACAAATAGAAATATGTAAAGTGCAAATATAAGGTTAAGATCATACTAGCATGTGCTTAGCTTCCTGATCATTCCTTTGTATATATGTCCAAGCCTTGTTTGCTTGCAGTGCAATTTTATTTGTTTTGGTGCAAAAGTATGAGAATGTAAAGGAGTTGGAGTTCAATTTTAGTTTAGTTTTGTCATAGGTTTCACTTTATTTTGTTTGTTTGCGGTTCTGGCAAAGGTTGTGTTTGGTATCATTGCCATTTCTATTTCCAACATTTTAAGTTGGTCAATACAAATTTTAAGAGAATATATTCTTTTCTAGCACAAAAGATTTGAGTTATCAATACAACATTTGGTATCATTATTGCTTCTTCAGGAAACATCAAATTTGGTGTTTATACTGTAAATGCCAACACCCAATCCAAGTTCAAATCCCCGCTGTGTATTGGGAACATCTCCCGATGATGACATTATTTCTGGTATTATCATCGGGAGATGTTCCCAATACACCGCGGGGATGTGCTATGAGATGTTGTGGGGGGCAATTTTGTGGGAGACTGATTTGATTTCACCCAATCCAATGCATTTTTTAGTGGAAGTGGTTATCAATGTAACAAGACCATTTCTCAAAAATTTGTATTGACTAACCTAAAATGTTGCAAGTAAAAATGGGAATGATACCAAACACAAGCTAAAGTAAAACCAGAAGCAAAAAAAAAAAAAAAAAAGAATTTGCAAAACTCTCATTTACACTCCCATCCATATGTGCTCGTACAAATGAAATTGCATTGCTTCAAACAGAGCCTCCATAATCATTTACCATTATTGGGCCTAGTTTTCGAACAGAGCTTTAATCATTAATCATTATTGGGGCTGATTTGTATACTATTGACCCACCCCGTCAAAGTAATGGGCAATAAAAGAAGTTTGTATTCGACCCATAGAAGGTGTTACATATCAACCCAAACCCAAGCCATGATTCTATTATTTGTGCCTAGCGGAGGCCAAATTGAAAATCCAAACAGATAGCTTTGTGTTGGGTGTTATACATATCAACCCTACAGATAGCTTTCTGTTGAAGTTATCTCAGGTAGTCTAGTCGAAGCAGCTCAGTCAATGCAGCTCAATCAATGCTGAAGTCCTCTCAAATGGGCTCTAATTGAAAATCCAGAAGCAGGTTTTAATGGATCTGGGGACACGCCAGGTAGCCCATAACTTGCCATGAGTCCACCATGGAGTATTAGGTCAAAAATCAACTTGAAATGCATGTGTGTATGGTGTATTTTCTAAGTAAACATTTAGAATGCAATTTCCATTAAAACTCTTTTGAAAGCTGTGAGAATGCATATATCAAATGGCTTCAAGGAATCTGATCATTCTGTTCTTTTTTTTTCACTGTTTTAGGAGAGACTTATCAGGTTGGTTTTCATCCTCTGAATATCCAACATACTTTGAATATTTTGGTTTTCTGGTTCCTAAAACAGAAGGCTTCTGGGCTTTATGAACTCTGTCCAACCCAAAGACCATCTTCATATCCGGGCTTATAATTGGGACCTCTCTGCCCTCCTCCTGGCTGACACACCCCACAAGCACACTATGTAGGAAGCCAGAAACATTGTTTATCCGACCCCCAAGCAATTTATATGATCAGAAGTGACTCGTAACTGAACCATTTCATGCTTATTTAGTTTATGGTCCCTTTTATACAAAAGTGACTCATCAATTTATATGATCAGAAACCATTCTTTGACTGCTTGGCCAAGTATTAGAGACCATAGGTCTAAAAAAATTGGCTTTGGGACTGCAATGCAAGCACTCTTTCATAAATCTCTTAAGCAAGAGATTGTTCTTTGATTTGCAGGAAGGTGAGCATAAATGATGTTGCAAGGAAGAGAGGCATGGATTTGAGGTTATTACATGGGGTGGCATATGGTGAACCTTGGTTTGGACGATGGGGCTACAGGTTCAGCCGTGGAAGCTATGGTGTTACTGAACCAATGTACCGGAAAGCCATAGAAGTTATCCAAAGCATACCTCTGTGCTTACTTGTTCATCACTTTGGTTGCTTGAATCATGAAATTCCAGCCATATTTACTCGGTACCAAGCACTTTCAGGTCATTCCTTGGTCACACTAGGCCATCTGTTCCATTTCATGATAGAATTGAAGGTCCACCTTCCACAAGAGAATCACATGGCTTCTGATAACTCTGGAATTCTGTTTGACACAGCATGTCGATGGTCTCCAAAGCGAATTGAAATGGCGACACGAGTTATTGTTGAGTTTTTAAGGAAGGCAGAGTTCAAATGGGTCTCAAGGCAAGAAGTTAGAGATGCTGCTCGTGCCTACATTGGTGACACAGGTTTACTTGATTTTGTACTGAAATCACTAGGAAACCATATTGTGGGGAATTATATGGTTCGGCGAAGTTTAAACCCAGTAACCAAAGTCCTAGAATATTGCTTGGAGGACATCTCTAGTACATATCTCAATCAAGAAGGTTTGTCACTGAATGATCCCAAAGGAAAGGCTTGTCATAAGATTACAAGAGCTCAACTCATGAATGATATTGCCTACTTGTACAGATCCATTCTCAATGAGCAGAGATCAGTGCTCACTTCAGGTATCTTTACCTCCATCCCATTAGCTACAAGGATAATTCTTGACTCCAAGGGTCTTATCAAAAATTATGGAGGAGAGGTAGCTCCTAGTGACAATGTGGGTGTTGAAGGAAATCTGACGTTCCTATGCACAGCTCTGTTGAAAAACAAGCTTGATGGTGAGGAAGAGAAAATTAGGACTTTACCACCATATGAATTAATAATTTTGCCTCTTGATGCTACCATTGAAGAGCTTAAGAAGGAAACTGAAAGGGTCTTTCGTGAGACATACTGGGGTTTAAGGAGCTTCATCATTGAGTCGATCTCTGGTGTGAATGCCAAGGAATCAGATATGATTTTCAGACTAGTTGAATTGTGTTGTTGCCTTGTTATGGAGGGAAGGATGGTAGAGGAGGGGATTGGCATTGATGATATATATGAAAGTGGAAGAGATGACTGCATTGTAGATTGTCCTTGTGGAGCCAAGGAAGACGATGGTGAGCGGATGATCTCATGTGATATTTGCGAAGTTTGGCAGCACACTCGATGTGTTCGGATCCCAAATGGCGAAGATATTCCCCATATATTTCTCTGCAGCCGCTGTGAGCATGACATTGTCCTCCTTCCTTCCCTACCATAATGAAATTCTCTACTTCAGTAGTTGGGACATAAGTACCAATCCTGGTCCTGTAAGTAGGAAGGTGCGATGTCTCACATATCAAGATAGTTTGGTCTCCCTCTCTCCATGAGAAATCATCTAGTTTTTTTTTTCCTCCTTTTGCTCTTTTGTGCTTTCTTAATTTCATATGACATGTCATGGAAATAACTTCAGGCCATGGCATGAAGAAAAAGTTAGAAAAGTTGCAACAATATATGATACATGGCAATCAAATATAATATATTGAGCCTCCTCATGGACTTAGAGCAGTGGAAGGTCTTGTTAGAGGTGCTTCTTAGCAAAAATCTGTGTAATAAGCAAACAAAAGGAAAACTTCAACACTTCTCAGTTTATGACATCTGAGATACACAGTCCTTAAGATCATTTCTTTTTACTAGAAAGCTGGGATTTCTACTTCTCAAGTGCAGGTATGTCTTAAGGAACTGTTCAACCTAGCTAAAACCTTAAGCTGTTAGGTGAGGTCCCTGAATAGAAGATTAGGTTTTTATTCTCTAACACTCCCTCATGCAGAAGTGTAAGGCACAGCAAACAAGTGGGCCCACGCACAGGAAGAAGCAAAATAACAATATTCAAACAAAAAAAAGTAAACACACAATAGTTGAAAACAAACTATGCATATTACTTATGCAAAATATACACAAACACAAACACACAATGCATGGCACTTAAACCACACACATACACTACATAACCAAAGGTTTTACAACGATAATTGTAAGGGATGAGACCCTATTTATAGTTGAGTTTAACTGCTTATAAGAGGTGGTTTACAAAACTTATGATACTTAAATGAACCGCGTGGGCCCTCCTATATCAACAAGCAAAATTGATATTGAGGTGGGTGAGAGAAGTCAGTTGATGGCTTCATTCATTGCTCCCCTTCATCAATGACTTCTCTTTTGTTAGTTATCCAAAGTCTTGATTTTTCTCTAGGGCATATGGATCTCTTCTCTCATTGCCTTTTTCCATTTAATTTGACAAGCATCTTCATAACTAGTTGGTTCTAGGCCACTAACCTCTTCAACAAGTGCAGCATCTATATACTTAGACATCTAATCCTAGTTAACTTTCGTAAATCTTGTCTTGGTTGCTCCTCTAACTCCTCCGATTGGCTTGGCCTAATATCTTCTAGTGTCTTCTATACATGAATACTAGTACTCCGCATGGTTTTGGGGATTTTTGAGAATCATATGAGCTAGGTTAAGGCTTTGGATCTTCTTCTAAATTTACTTTTTCTTGTAAATTCTCTTCTATAACATCAGAGTTGGGTAGTATTACTCTCTTAAGTGGCCACCAAGATGAAGCTTCATTGAATACCACATTTTGATATGTATAGCAATGATTGGTATTTGGATCACAAAACTTCCATCCCTTTCTTTTACTGTCATAGCCAAGGAATATACACTGAATAGCTTTCTTGTCGAACTTGATGTGTAGATGGTTTGGTACAAATACATAATATATATACACAACTAACTATACGAAAGTGACTTATAGTGGGTCGATGTTTCCACAACTTCTCAAATGGCGAGAGAAAACCAAGTGATACTTATGGTAATCAATTGATGACATGTGCTGCCATCTTCATGCCTTCTACCTAAAAGTATGTTGGCACATTTTTACTATGTGTTAGCACCCAATTTTTGCTCGATTCCTTCACCCTACCTCTTTGTACTCCCCTTTTGCACTCAAAAAACTTGAAACCCAACCAGATCAACTTCAGACTTTCCAAAGATGAAAAAACCCTCATTCGACACAATCCACAAGACAAACAAGAACCTTGATCAGACATCATCCCCAGACTTGAAAAACTATAATTTAGTCACACATCAGTTTTCATGACTAAATTCTAAAGATCCACCGTTAAGTACGCTAACTTCCTTTCTAATGGCCTCGATCTATGCGATATCCAAATTTTAACTCTTCTAAAATCAAATCCAATATATCTATAACCCCAAGATCACTAGAAAATAATCAACTAGCGAATCCCACCATAAATCTTCAACAACTAATCGCAAAAACATCAAGATCCCATTTGGATGGCCCTGAATGATTACCAAGATCGACCATATATTTTTCAGATCAGAACCATCCACTTGACTCCATGCCTACCTACCAAATTGTAGCTCAACTAACGAATCCCACCACAAATCTTCAACAACTAATCGCAAAAACATCAAGATCCCATTTGGATGACCCTGAATGATTACCAAGATCGACCATATATTTTTTAGATCAGAACCATCCACTTGACTCCATGCCTACTTACCAAATTGTAGCTCAAAATTCCCTCATTTGAACCCCCATCAAGCCTAGATCCTATTCCAACAAATCTCATTAATTAGAGCCTACAATCCATCATCCCAAATTCATATGTCAAAAACCTCTATTTGACCGTTAGAAAAGTAAGATTCCATTTTAGGCCCTCTTGTTGATTAGAAAACCATAAGCTAAGACCATGATCTAAACTAAATCAATCAATCTATATACCTCTGATCAAAGATCCATCCCTTTCATTAGATTCAGGATGTTCAAAAGTGCCAACCAACCAAATTTCATCCCGAAATTCCCCTGTTTGACCCTTCATCAAACAAAGATTATCCATTTAAGCAAATCTCATTGATTCGAACTTGTCAGCCATAGATCTCAATCATCCCGACCTTATTGGACCTTACCATTGTATTCAGAGACCCAAAATATTCCTTCACGTCAAATTTCATTACCAAACACCTCATTTGACTATTGAAAAAGAAATTCTATTTCAAACCCTTTCGTTGATTGGAAAACCATAAGTATAGACTATGATCTGAACTAAAAAATCAATCTACACCTCTGATCAAAGATCCATCACTTCCATTAGATTTAGGACGTTCAAAAGTGTCAACCCACCAAATTGCATCCCAAAATTCCCATGTTTGATCCTTCATCAAACAAATATTCTATTTCAGCAAATCTCATTGATTCAAGCTTGTCAGCCATAGGTCTTAATCATCCTGACCCTATTTGACCAATCAGGCATCACCACTGTGTTTAGGGACCCAAAAAACCCCAGCATGCTAAATTTCACATCCTAATTCATCCATTTGACCATTTAACTAGGAAGATACAATTTTGATGCAATAGATTAAATTGCAATGTCATCTGGCCCAACCTAAAGCCTTAAAAGGGTGATGACTGATGCCAAACCCATTCTTGGCTCATTAGAACACTTTGACCAATCAAGCAAAGCCTAATAGATCCAAAAAGCTCAAAATACCAAACAATCCCCCACTTAAAACCAAGAAAATACAAAATAACTTTTAAAAGTTCATCAAATTTATGTCTTTTGCCACTGTCAGCCCCAAATACGAGACTACAACGTCTAGCATGCCCCAATCTCCCATTGGACGCACAAAACCCATGAAAACCACCCCCAAATCAAAGAAAGTGTTTCACCTAATAGGAAAGCTTGACTAGGCACCTATTTCTTTAAAGAATCTTTGCCTATTTGTGGGAAAAACCTTTATTGAATCCTAGTCATTGTAGCTGATTGAATTCAGACCTGACCCCTCCCTTTTTCTATAAATACTGACCTAATCCAAGCTCAAAAAGGGGGATTGGAGAGAGGAAACCAGAGGGAGGTCTCTAGAGAAAGAAAGAGAGAGAAGGGGGGAGAGTTTTCCAACTCCTGTAACGCACCTAGATTGCTTGAAATCTCGGAATCCTTGAAGCCAAGCTCAAGGCTCATCCCTTGTTTTCCAAATTCAACACCAGAAACACCCAACCTAGCTCCTGCCTTATTCAAGTTTCATTTGAGGTCCTTCCAACTGTTGGAAAGCTTGTTTCAAGGTCGTACACGTGAGGTAAGCCTCTCACTTCACCATCTCTTTGTTTTGAGTTTAGTTTCAAGTTGCTTAAAGCCCCGAAATCCTGGGAAACTTACACTCCCAGCTTCCTCTAGATTGAGAAAAAGAGGTAGAGAGGCGAGGGTTTTAGGGAAAACAATACCTAAGACTCGATAACACCACCTCAAATCAATTATGGGCAGAGTTGGGAACGTTTTTGCTGGATTTCAAGAGCCTCGAGCAATCCTGTTATTTGGTGTCTTGTCGGAATTTGAGCCTGAACTACTCTTGTAGTGGGCTGCTATAGCAGCTTGGAGAGAGGGGGTGCCTAACACATTCCCTCTCCCAATCTTTGGAATCCAAAGCCTTTCGGTTTAGTGCCTTTCCTTGGCAAAGAAATGAGTCACTATCAAGGCAAGTAAACCGTTTTTTAAACTTGAAAATGAGGGCCTATTTCCTCCAAAAATGGGTGGCGACTCCAACTCTTTTGAGTCGGCCATGAGCTTTCCGGAGCTCACACTATGCAACATGCTTATTACTTCAACTAGATGCTAGTTCTTTCTATTGGCTTCTCCATTCTATTGTGGAATGTTTGAGCAAGTAAATTGTCATTGTATCCCATGTTTCTTAATATATTCTTAGAATTCTTTTGACGTGTATTCTCCTCCATTATCTGTGCGTAGGCACTTAATTTTGTGGCCAACTTCTTTTTCAACTCTCTTTAAATTCTATAAACATGGAAAATACTTCAGATTTTTCCTTTAAGAAATATACCCATATGTACCTTGAGAAATCATTGATAAATTTTATTATATATCGCATCTTGGTGATAGGTTCTTACTTCACTCATCCAAACACATCAGAGTGAATGGGCTTTGATGGTTATTTAGCTCAAAACTTTAATTCAATATATGGTAATTAGTGTGCCTTGCCATATTGACATCCAACATATATTGTGTCAATCCTAACTTCTAGTTGAGAGAAGTTAGTAGTTTCATTTTATTGAGTCTTTTTTTTCATAGGTTAATTCAACAAACATTATGTAGATGGGCTCTAATTCTGTCCTTCCATAAGTGGTACCTCCGATGTATGTATACTTTGATATACTTTAATATATCATTGGGACCAAAACTACAT